TTGGAGTATAATTGTCTTACAGTGTTGTGTTAGTTTCTGCTGTATAACAAAGTGAATCAGCTATATGTGTACATATATCCCCATATCCCCTCCCTCTTGCGTCTCCTTCCCACCCTCCCTATCCCACCCCTGGGCTATGTGGCTGCTTCCCTCTAGCTAGCTATTTTACATTTGGTAGTGTATATATGTCCATGCCACTCTCTCACTTTGTCCCACCTTACCCTTCCCCCTCCCCGTGTCCTCAAGTCCATTCTCTACATCTGAGTCTTTATTCCTCAGACCGGGTCTTAGTTGCGGCATGTAGGATCTTCTTTGTGGCATGCATGTGGGATCTAGTTCTCTGACCAGGATCGAACCCGGGCCCCCTGTATTGGGAGCTCGGAGTCTTAGCCACTGGACCACCCAGGAAGTCCCTACGCTGATCACAGTGAATTCCTCCAGTGATGTGACAACACCTGTGATGAAATCCAATTCATATTTTATGTCAAGACAAGAAAATTTAAATGTAAGAATTTTCTCTGCCTGTTTGGGCCTCCTCCCTCCCCTTCAATGTGTATTGTGCACCTGCCTTAACCAGACCTCCTCAGGAGATAAACTTCTTTCTTAATCTTGTGAGGGGCGACAATGACCCATGACCCACTGTTACCCAAAAACTGGATACCCCTCTTGGTGGGCATCGAACCAAAAGACACGACCAAGCCAAAGATTGGGATTAAGAAGGATGTATTACGGGCTTCCCAGGTGGCGCAGTGGTTGAGAGTCCGCCTGCCGATGCAGGGGACACGGGTTCTTGCCCCGGTCTGGGAGGATCCCACATGCCTCGGAGCGGCTAGGCCCGTGAGCCATGGCCGCTGAGCCTGTGCGTCCGGAGCCTGTGCTCCACAGCGGGAGAGGCCACAACAGTGAGAGGCCCGCGTACCGCAAAAAAAAAAAAAAAAAGAAGGATGTATTACTTGCAGCAAGGAAGGAGAACATCAGGGATTTTTCCCAAACAGCAAAATTGGGGAAGTTCTAAGCTAAGGGAGGAGAATTCAGCATAGAATTGGGGCCAAGGTTGAGTCCAAGTGTTAGTTGATTGAAGTCAAGAGGGTCAGAAAAGGTCAACATCATCCAGTTCATCTGGCGGTTGGGCCCTTGAGGAGGGTTTAAATTCCGCAAAACAGCTCAAGGATGTGCTTCAGGCTAATGCGAAAGGGTCTTTACAACTGATTTATTATCTTTGCTGTTGTCCCTTCGCTTGCCTGATAACAGTCCTTTGTTCCTGCATTCTTCTGTTCCCTCAAGATCCTTAATTAGTGAGACCTGTTCAAAGATAAGCGCTGCGTGCAGGCTCAGATCACAAAGTGGCTCAGGCCAAAAATGGCTTCTCTGTGTCAAGAAAGCCATGCCTGGTTCCCTTTCTCTGGACACCCCCTACCCTATCTGCTTAGACCGCTACTCAGTTTGTACGTGTACGTGTAGATCTGGATTGTGTACACTGTCAATACGTCACCTGACTATAACCCTTTGTCTCAAAAACTTATATAACTGTGCTTTGACCTCTAATGGGTGGAACAGTCTTCAGAGCTTTCTGAAAGACTGTCTCCTGGGTTATAACCCTCAGGTTGGCTGGAATAAAATTTTCCACTTCTGGGAATGCCCTGGTGGTCCAGTGGTTAGGACTCAGCACTCCCACTGCCAAGGGCCCGGTTCAATCCCTGGTCGGGGAACTAAGATCCCACTAGCCATGCAGCACGGCCAAAAAAAAAAAAAAATTCCATTTCTTTCTTAGATCAACTATTGATTAATCTTTTCATCAGCACCTGTGAGGTGTCCACCAGGGAAGCTCATTAGAGACTTAGGGCCAAAGAGTTTTTACCGGGGGCTGGTCACAAAGGCTCCCCCTGCGTTGCACCTACCCAAATCCCAGACTCCCAGAAGGAAAGCTGGTGTTCGGCATAAGCCATACTGTTGGTACAAACAGTGTAGGTAGGTGAGTCACTGTAGTTGATGGCGAAAACTTGGCCTCTGTGCACTGGTGCCAAATCGAATCTCGGAGACAGAGTTTTGGGTGAAATAGAAAAGAATAGCTTTATTGCTTTGCCAGGCAAAGGGGGACGCAGCAGGCTTGTGCCCCTTAAAACTGTGTGTTCCAACTCAGGAGGATTTGGTGAGGAGTTTTATAGCCATGGTTCAAGGGTGGGGCTGCTGGTAAGGATTAGGGTGTGTGCAGGGACTGTACTCCTTTCATCTGGCCTCAGGTGGTCTTCTCTGGAATGAAGAAAGGTAACATCTTCCATTTGTTGGGGGTTTCAGTTCTATAAAGAGCTCAAAGAGGACTTCCCTGGCGGTCCAGCGGTTAAGACTCCTCGCTTCCACTGCAGGGGGCGCGGCTTCCATCCCTGGTGGGGGAACTAAGATCCCGCATGCCACGCAGCTCGGCCAAAAAAAAAAAAAAAAAAAAAATAGGGTTCATATAGTCAATGGAGAAATATAATTACAACCAAAGATCCAATTTTGGAGCATTGGTTGTGTGCCAAGGAGGTCACATGTGTGTTTTTAAAGCCCTTGTAATCTCTTTCAAGTTGGTTTTGCTGTCGTGGAACACACAGGAACGTTTTTTGTTCAGGGAGCTTAAATATTTACTCCAACTTCTTTCAGCAAGTATAGGTCTAACAATTGTTTTAATATAGATCAGTCTAGGGGCAAACTCCCCAGTGTTTCTGTAACACCTGGATGAATATAGCTTCTTCCTTGCTCTCAAGACCCAGAAAACAAAAACTAAGCCCTCAAATATACAACATGCTCTGAAATAATTGCTTGTACTACATAGATTAAAGGACCTCACAATCCTTTTTCCTGGTTGAGAGTGATAGAAAGAATTTGGCAAGTCATAGGTACTTCTATTGTTTTTAATTGAAGTAGAGTTGATTTACAATGTTGTATTAGTTTCAAGTGTACGGGAAAGTGATTCAGTTACATATATATATTCTTTTATGTATACATTCTTTTTCAGATTCTTTCCCCTTATAGGTTATTATAAAATATTGAGTATAGTTCCCTGTGCTATACAGTAGGTCCTTGTTGGTTCTCTATTTTATATATAGTAGTGTGTATATGTCAATCCCCAAATCCTAATTTATCCCTCGGCCCACCCCCAACTTCTACCCTTTGGTGACATATGTTACCAGAGAGAGAGAGAGAGAAACCTCTTTCTTATTGGGAATTCCAAGCATGTCCACTATTCCTGATTCTTTTCAATCTCCCTGTGCCCTTTGCTGTTACATAAACATATTTTGCAGAGATTTTGGAATTGTAATAATGTCCTGTGATTTTTAGCACAGTAAGCAAAGCTCAAAATGTGTCTTGGGATTTGGTGTGACAAAGAAAGTGACTGGAAGAAAAACTCAGAGAAAGAGATACTGGCCGGGCTTCCCTGGTGGCGCAGTGGTTGAGAGTCTGCCTGCCGATGCAGGGGACACGGGTTCGTGCCCCAGTCCGGACGGAGCGGCTGGGCCAGTGAGCCATGGCCGCTGAGCCTGCGCGAGGTCACAACAATGAGAGGCCCGCGTACCGCAAAAAAAAAAAAAACCAAAACTTAAAAAAAGAGTAGTAGGGAAAAGGTGGAGATGGTCTCAGGGGAGCCCAAGGAACAGAGTCTTTCTTTTTTTTTAATGAATTTTTATTGGAGTATAGTTGCTTTACAATGTTGTGTTAGTTTCTACGGTACGGCAAAGTCAGTCAGCTATGCGTATACATATATCCCCTCTTTTTTGGATTTCCTTCCCATTTAGGTCACCACAGACCACTGAGTAGAGTTACCTGTGCTATATAGCAGGTTCTCATTAGCAGAGTCTTTGAAGAATGCAGACTCACAATTCTATCAAGTGGAAGGAGGCAGATAATATTGGGGGTGGGACATATGGGCAAGAGCAAGCATGACTTTCAGGGTGAGCCTGGAGCATGAGTGACCTCAACACCCAGGAGCCTGGAGAGCAGTGAAAAGGGAGCTTCTCTTTTTGGTGAGCTTAGTGGTTGCCAAAAAGAGTATGGTGAGAACAGGGAAAGGGGAAATGAGGGCAAGGTCTTCTCTTACACTCCTTAGTGGCAGCCTTCTTTCCCACCCAACTGCTAGATGCTGCTTCATTCTTCTGATTTTTAAAAAAATTACTCCAATACCTCCAAATGGCTAAAAAGTAATCCTTTACTTTGTCTTCTCCCTCAAAGATTTAACAATTAATCCAAATTTGGACATCTACTGCTTGAAGCTTTAAAATGCTTACCTATTGACATACATACGATACTATATATAAAATAGATAACTAATAAGGACCTACTGTATAGCACAGGGAACTCTACTCAATACTCTAATGGCCTATATGGGGAAAGAACCTAAAAAAAGTGGATATATGTGTATGTATAACTGATTCACTTTGCTGTACACCTGAAACTAACACAACATTGTAAATCAACGACACTCCAACATAGGAAAAGGTTGCTGAGCCCTGATTTAAACCATTTGCAAAATAAAATAACAAAAAAAATGCGTATCTAAAAAGAACTGATCCCCTTATGATCAAGCTGTTGTCTTTTGTTAATAAAAACAAGAATACAATAAAGAGCTAACTCTGCTCAAAAATAAAAAAGAATGAAGAATCAGTGAGATACATTTAAGGGAAACAGTAAGATGATATATAGATACATAATTATAAGATTCCTAGATTATTCCCATAGAAACTATTGCATTCTACATTTTGAGAAATTCTGCATACAAAAATTAAAACTTTATTTTCTGAGCTGTAGTAATTTTATTATAGTTAACTCCTTTTCAAAATAATGAAAAATTTAAAATAAGCTATGTCAATACATATTTTTTTAAGAAAGGGAAAGAGTAAGGTGAGAAATGAAAGCATCCGTTGGAGTTATGGGCAGGGGCTTCATGGCTGAAACAACACAGTGTCTGTAAGATGTGGTGGTGCGGTTAATTATCAGGCTGAAGTGGGTAACACTCTCCTTTTCCTTGTGCAGGAACCTTGTGGATGACAGAGATCGTCAACCTGATCTGCAACAAGGGGGATCCTGCCTGGGTCCAATCTGTTGTCAGCAGTGAGCATTCAATGTGGTTAGAAACTAAAGCTGGGCTTCAGTGTATAAAGGATCAGAAAGACCCATGATTCTACGTCTCCCATCTCCCCATTCAGTTGTTCTCCAGGTCATTCTTCAGTTCCAAGGCCAAGGTGAGTTAATGATGCAAGGTCAGTTTGGGTCACTTCTTTGGTTATCCTGAAGGCCTGTGTTTTAGGGACAGAGTTAAAATGTGACTCAGGTCCATCGACAGGTGAATGGATAAAGAAGATGTGGTACAGGGCTTGCCTGGTGGCGCAGTGGTTGAGAGTCCGCCTGCCGATGCAGGGGACATGGGTTCGTGCCCCGGTCCGGGAAGATCCCACATGCCGCAGAGCGGCTGGGTCTGTGAGCCATGGCCACTGAGCCTGTGCGTCCGGAGCCTGTGCTCCACAACAGGAGAGGCCACAACAGTGAGAGGCCCGCGTACAGCAAAAAAAAAAAAAAAAGAAAGATGTTGTACATATATACAGTGGAATATTACTCAGCCAAAAAAAGAATGAAATCATGCCATTTGCAGCAACATGGATGGACCTGGAGATGGTCATACTAAGTGAAGTTAAGTCAGACAAAGACAGACGTTATATGATATCACTCATATGTGGAATCTTAAAAAATGACACAAATGAAATGAACTTACTTAGAAAACAGAAATAGACTCACAGACATAGAAAACCAACTTATGGTTACCAAAGGGGTGGGGGTGGGGGAGATAAATTAGGAGTTTGGGATTAACAGTTACCCACTACTATATATAAAATAAGTAAACAACAAGTATAGCACAGGGAACGATACTCAATATTTTGTAATAACCTATAAGGGAAAAGAAGCTGAAAAAATAGATATACATGTATGTATAACTGAATCACTTTGCTATACACTTGAAACTAACACAGCATTGTAAATCAACTATACTTCAATTAAAAAAATAAATTTTAAAAAATGTGATTCAGTGAAGTGAGCATATTAGAAAAGCTTGTTCCAAGCTATGGTGGCACACACCAGACAATCTCCCTGCTGCTGCTCCAGAGAATACTCGATCCTTAATTAAATAAACCCTGGCTGCACCCCCAACCCCTAGGTACCCAACATTGATATGACCATATGGGAGGTGTCTCAACTGTAAATCAGCATCTGTATTTCAGAAGAAATGTAGGATTGGAACACATGTTTGAAATCCCACTGGGTTTTTCTAATCGTGAAATCATTTAGGGCATGTCTTTCCCACTTAATAGATCCACAGACCTCTGAGGCATAATCTCAGGACCCCTAAAGGAGGACCCTAACATTGAGTGACCCTGTGCTGTAAATGTGCATCTTCACTCATCTTAGATTATAGTTTAAAACGTGACACCGAAGGTATTATCAAAACTGTGTGAAACTGAACTTATTTACAAAACAGAAATACGCTCTCAGACATAGAAAACAAACTTGTGGTTACCAAAGGGGAAAGGGGAGGATGAAATAGGAATTTGGGATTAACAGATACACACGACTGTATGTAAAACAGATAAACAATAAGGCCCTACTGTATAGCACAGGGAACTATACTCAATATCTTGTAATAACCTATAAGGGAAAAGAATCTGAAAAAGTGTATATATATATATATATATATATATGAATTACTTTGCTGTGTAACCAAAAATGAATAAATACATAATAGGAAGAAAGAAAAAATGTATGAAACTCCCTCAAACAATCGTATGTGATGTGGTAGTGGAAGTATGATCGAAATATTCTAACATCACAGTGTCTTTCATAATATTAATATTGTACTATGTTTCTATTTGTTTGCTTGTTTATTGTCAGGTATATTTATTTTACTGTGATCACCATGATTATGAAGACCAGGTTTATTTTGTAGCTTTTTTTTTTTTTTTTTTTTTACCATTTTACACCAACCTACCAGAATGCTTAAAACAATATAGAGATTTAAGAAAATATTGGATGGTGGGCATGTAAATTGACGCAACCAGTATGGAAAACAGCATGGAGGTTTATCAAAAAATTAAAAATAGAACTACCATTAGATCCAGCAATTCCACTTCTGGGTATTTATCTAAAGAAAACGAAAACACTAATTTGAAAAGATAGATGCACCTCCATGTTCAATGCAGCCTTATTTATGATTACCAAGATGTGGAAGCAACATAAGTATCCACTGATGGATGAATGGATAAAGAAGATGTGAGATATATATATATATATGTATATATACATACATACACACAGTTGACCTTTGAACAACATGAGTTTGAACTGTGAGTTTCATTTATACAAAGATTTTTTTCAATAAATATAGTACTGTATTTTCATTTTGTTGCTTTTTATTTTTTAATAAATTTATTTATTTTATTTATTTATTTTTGGCTGCGTTGGGTCTTCGTTGCTGTGCACAGACTTTCTCTAGTTGTGGTGGGCGGAGGCTATTCTTCATTGCGGTACGCGGGCTTCTCATTGTGGTGGGTTCTCTTGTTGCTGAGCATGGGCTCTAGGAGCATGGGCTTCAGTAGTTGTGACATGCAGGCTCAGTAGTTGTGGCTCGTGGGCTCTAGAGTGCAGGCTCAGTAGTTGTGGTGCACAGGCTTAGTTGCTCCGCGGCACGTGTTATCTTCCCGGACCAGGGATCGAACCTGTGTCCCCTGCGCTGACAGGCAGATTCTCAACCACTGCACTACCAGGGAAGCCCCATTTTATTGCTTTTTAAATTAACTAAGTGTGGGGAAATATTTCTGTTTGATTAGAGAGCACAATATGTGGAATCAAAAGAATTAGGGTTTGAGTCCTGATTCTATCCAAACTGTTTCCACTTCCTGCCCTTGGGTGAGTATCAGTTCCTTTGCTTTTGAAGCAGAGATAGCAGTACTTGGGTTTTCCACCGTGTAGGGGGTAGTACCCCCAACCCCTATGTTGTTCAAGGGTCAACTGCACAGTGGAATATTACTCAGGCATGAAAAAGAATGAAATCAAGCCATTTGTGACAACATGGATAGACCTTGAGGACATTCATGCTTAATGAAATAAGTCAGATAGAGAAAGATAAATACCACTTGATCTCATTTATATGTGGAATCCAAAATTTAAAAAAAAAAGCTCATAGATACAGAGAACAGATTGGTAGTTGCCAGAGGTGGAGGGTGGGTGGTGGGCAAAATGGGTAAAGGAGGTCAAAAGGTACAACCTTCTAGTTATAAAATAAATAAATTATGGGGATGTGATGTACAGCCTGGTGACAATAGTTAATAATGCTGTGCTGCATATTTGAAAGTTGCTGGAAGAGTAAATCTTAAGCATTCTCATCACCAGAGAAAAATAATTCTGTAACTATGTCTGGTGACCAGTGTTAAGTAGACTTATTGTGGTCATCATTTGGAATCATTATGCTTTACCCCTGAAACGAATATAATGTTGTATGTCAATTATACCTAAGTAAAATTAATAAAGAAAGAACATATTGAATGAATGAAAGAATACATGAAACAGGAAAACAAACAAAAAAAATAGTCCAAGACCACACTCTGTAAAATGATTATGACTTTACGCCAGAAAATTCTGGTTTGAACCTCAGTTCTCCAGATTTTGTCTATGAACAAATAGTGCAATGTCGTTGAAGCTCCATTTTTGTGTGCTTAAACCAGCAGGATTTATTCATCTGTGCTAAGGGCTGGGAGGAACGTGATGATTAAGATGACCTCAAGCCACATCCAAAAGGAATGTATAGATCGTTTGAAAAAAGACCAATAACAGACAAAATTTGTTAGTTTCCGTAGCGACCACATTTTTTACTGACAGCCTAGCTTAGATCAGAGCCTAATGCATACTCAATGAATTATATCTATTTTAAGAAATATAATAAGTAGATTAAGAATCTGCTTATTGTTGTTTATCTATTTTATATATAGTAGTTTGTCTTTGCTAATCCCATACCCCTAATTTATCCCTCCCCGCCTTCCTCTTTGGTAACCGTTTGTTTTCTATGTCTGTGAGTCTGTTTCTGTTCTGTAAATAAGAACAGAAGAGAAACATTTGTGTGTTTGTGTCATATTTTAGATTTGACATTTGATTTTAAACATTTGTGTCAACTGTGTCATATTTTAGATTCCACATATAAGTGATACCCAGCTCAGATTATGACCGCAGTGGAGTAAAGCAATGATCCGAATTGGAAATGACCTGATATAACACTTGATCCAGCATGTCCTAGCCCAGGTTTACTGACATAAAACTAGTTCCTTTTTTTTTCTAAAGTTTGTTTTGAGAACCCTGAAAGTTTGTTTCCTCTTGAGGTTTCACCATCTACAGCAGCATGAGTTTATTCATGCCATCATTTTGAATATTATAAACGAACCCTTATATACAGTTGGCCATTCACATCTGTCTGATTAGTACCTGGGAAATACTGATATCGTAGAAATTCCTAGGAAAATATAGTAAGGCCTGGAACATGAAATTCCAGGAATAGCAGTGAATAGGGCAGAATCCCAATAAAAGTCAGACTTCTTCAAAATGTAATAACATCATCTGCCTCTCAAAACTTTAAAGACCATCATTCCATGTATCATAAGGTTCTTAAGGGCAGAAACAATCCATATCTTATATACTGCTTCTTCTATAGAATCTAACTAAATGTCTGGCACATTGTGGGTTCTAAATATATTTTGTTAAATAAATGAATTAAAGACTAAATTGTAGCCAGACACTTTAATGGGCGTTGGCATTTTCTCCATTTGTGAAAAGCGTGGAGCAAGGGAAATGGATACATTTATTCTCATTTTCTTTTTTTTTACAATTTAAGTGTATTTATGTAATGAGAAGTCCCAGAGATGTTATTACTTCCGGTTATCATTTCTGGAAAATGGTAAAGATTATCAGAGAGCCAGAATCATTTGAAGAATATTCGGAACGGTTCCTTCGAGGAAATGGTGAGTTTGACGCAAAATGTGGACTCCAGGTGGAATGGGGAAGTTTCTGTGTCTCATCCCCAGGTCTTACTGTCCCATGATTTAAACAACCACATTGTAATCGAAACCTAGATGTCGCTAAATCTGTAGCCCCTCCTGTTAACAACAGAAATCTTAGCGAATGTGCTTTGTGTTCTCCCCAATTTTTCCTAAATATAATAAACATATAAAAAGATAATTCACCACACTCAAAATAAGAGAAGTATGAATTCAAACTACAATGATATACAGTTTCTCATCTGTCATAGTGGAAAGTGTATGCCTTTCCTCTCATTGCTGTAACAAATTACCACAAATTTAATGCTTTAAAACAACAGAAAGTTGGGAATTCCCTGGTGGTCCAGTGGTTAGGACTTTCACTGCTGAGGGCCCGGGTTCAATCCCTGGTCAGGGAACTAGGATCCCACAAGCCACCTGACGTGGCCTAAACTAAACTAAATAAATAAAACAAAAAAGTATCTTACATGCTGGAGTTCAGAAACCCAAAATATGCCGTATGGGCTAAAATTAATGTGCAGGTGTGGTTACCTTCTGTTCTTGAGGCTCAAGGAGAGAATTCACTTCTCGCCTTTTCCAGCTTTTAGAGGCTGCCCACATTTCTTGGCACGTGGACCACATCCTCCCACACTCTGCTGTCATCACATCTCCTTCGCTGGTTCTGACACTCTTTCCGCTCTCACATAAGGACCTGTGATTACGTTGTTTCTACCTGGATAATCCAAGATAATCTCTCCCTTTGAAGATCCTGAATTTAATTGCATCTTCAAAGTCCATTTTGTCATGAAAAGTAACGTATGCAGAGACTTGGGGATCAGGCTGTGGACACTTTTGTGTGGCTATCACTCTGCTGTAGCACAGCTAGCATTCAAAACATTTGACTCACGCTGTGGCGGTGAGACTCTGGGTAGGCCAACACGCTCATATGTTGCTGGTGGCATGGATAACAGTACTAACCCATGTAGGGTCATCTTGCAAATTCTACCATTCTAGCATTTACACATTCATGTTTAACTCCCCTTTCTCCAGTGGAAAAAAATACACTAGCAAAAATACAAAAAAAAAAAAAGTTGCGGTGGGGAGAAGCAGAAGATGGATTTACTAGACTATTCAAATTATCCTTATTTGTAATAGCAAAAAATAAAATTGCCACCAAATATATAATGAAATGCTACTCAACTTAAAAAAATGGAATGTTGCCATTCTATTACAGAGTGACCTCTAGAATCCACTGCTAACTATTTTAAAAATTGAGATGTGGAGAAAAGTTTGTAGCGTAGCCTACCAATGAACAACGACAGAGGACAAGTACAGGAAAGGGCATGAGGAGAGAAGAGTTTGGTAAAATTTGGAGAGTTGGGTGCGATAAGAAAGAAGCAACTAAATGAGGTGGATGGACCTAGAGTCTGTCATACAGAGTGAAGTAAGTCAGAAAGAGAAAAACAAATACTGTATGCTAACACATATGTATGGAAACTAAAAAAAAAAGGTTCTGAAGAACCTAGGGGCAGGACAGGAATAAAGACTCAGACATAGAGAATGGACTTGAGGACACAGGGAGAGGGAAGGGTAAGCTGGGACGAAGTGAGAGAGTGGCATGGATATATATACACTACCAAACGTAAAATAGATAGCTAGTGGGAAGCAGCCACATAGCACAGGGAGATCAGCTCGATGCTTTGTGACCACCTAGAGGGGTGGGATAGGGAGGGTGGGAAGGAGGCTCAAGACGGAAGGGTTATGGAGATGTATGTATACATATAGCTGATTCAATTTGTTGTACATCAGAAACTAATGCAACATTGTAAAGCAATTATACTCCAATAAAGATATATATAAAAGAAGCAACTAATATCTGCCTGGTCACCATCAGAGACAACCTTAAATATTGTATTAAAGACCTTGGTTTTTTTTTTTTTTTTGGCTGCTCTACATAGCTTGTGGGATCTTAGTTCCCCGACCAGGGATCGACCCCGCGCTCACAGCAGTGAAAGTGTGGAGACCTAACCACTGGACCGCCAGGGAATTCCCAAGAGCTTGGAATTTAACTTATGCAATATTTTGATTAAAAAAACCATTATTTCTGAAGAAAACTCTAAAATTTTGGATCTGGATTTCCATCAAAGATATTTTTAAAGGGCTTTAATGCCAAAAAAATTTAAACACCTGTTTCGCTTGTGTCAGCTTGTCCAATGCTCTGGAATCCTATTTGATTCCCTTGTAGAGCCACAGAGGAAACATATTTTTAACTACTACAATTTTTCCTATCACAAACATGCTCCTCCTGGCCATAATCTTGGACGTTCCTGGATGAAATGCCCTCCTTTAAGAGTTCCCAGTGGGGACTTCCCTGGTGGTCCGGTGGTTAGGACTCTGTGCTTCCACTGCAGTGGGTATGGGTTCGATCCTTGGTCGGGGAACTAAGATTCCACAAGCTGCACGGCCAAAAAAAAAACAAAAAACAAACAAACAAAAAAACAGTTCCCAGTATCCGTGTGCAGACAGTGAATGTTCAACATTTTACTAGCTGTTTTTTCAGCAGAAGGAGGACCTAACTTCTAGGAGCTTCAATTTCCCTATTGGATTTGGGAGTATAATAATTGAGACTGTGCTGAAACCTGCTCCACACTTGTAAGAAAAAATTAGGTGTCTTTATTGCAAGGTAGAGAAAAATCTTGCCTTTTGTTTTTTTAACTTCTTGGAGTTTATCATCTAATTATGTCAAACACAACTATCTCTCCTATTTAATTATACCAAACCCTTAGTTGCAAACAACCTTAAACATAAAAAACAGATCAAGCAATTATAATTAAATATTTATTTATTTATTTATTTGGCTGCGCCGGGTCTTAGTTGTGGCATGCGGGTTCTTTTTATTTGTGGCATTGGAAATCTTAGTTGCGGCATGTGGGATCTAGCTCCCTGACCAGGGATGGAACCCAGGTCCCCTCCATTGGGAGCATGGAGTCTTAGCCACTGGACCACCAGGGAAGTCCAAGCAATTATAATTAAACAGGATAAATAATTCAAGCACGTCTCAGTGAATCCAACATAAGAATTCAACGAGCTATATTCCTGTAGGAATAGCTGGAACCATGGGATTAAACAGAAGATCTTATATCTCTGCACCTTTCTCCTTGAAATTTTCATCTTCTGAACAAAAAAAATGTGATACACACACACACACACACACACACACACACACACACACACGATGAAATACTACTCAGCCATAAAAAAGAATGAAATAATGCCATTTGCAGCAACATGGGTGGACCTAGAGATGATCATACTAAGTGAAGTAAGCCAGACAGAGAAAGACAAATACCATATGATATCACTTATATGTAGAATCTAAAATATGATACAAATGAACTTATTTACAAAACAAAAATAGACTCACAGACATAGAAAGCAAACTTATGGTTACCAAAGGGGAAAGTTGGGGGGATAAATTAGGAGTTTGGGATTAGCAGATACAACTACTATGTATAAAATAAATAAATAACAAGGTCCTACTGTATAGCACAGGGAATTATGTTTAATATTTTGTAAAAAACCACAATGGAAAAGAATATGAAAATTTTTTTTTCTTTTTTTTTGGTCTCAACATAGGTTTCTGCTAGTTTGGTTCGCATGATATGAAAGAGAGCTGACCAGTCCTGAATTGGGGAACTTATATAGTATTGTGCAGTTATACAAGGAGAGACAGAAAGTTTGCTCTTTTTTTTTTCCTCTGGAAAGTTTACTCTTGATATGAAGACCAAAAATCTCAGGGGAAGAGACACAGGTTTGCATGTGTCTAATGCCTTATTCAACAATGTCTAAGTGACAGGATCATTTGACCTACGACTCCTCAAATGCACATTGTGAAAGGAAAAAAAAAAAATTTTCCACACTATGTGCTGTTCCAAAGGTTTGGGATGGGTGAAGGACATACAAAAGACATGTGTTTCTGGTATAGGGGAAAGAAACTGTATTCATAGCAGAAAGAACAAAGACATGGACTCCAAATTAGAAGGAGTTTAAAATTAGCTCTTTCATTTGCTAACTGAATTCTCTTTACAGTTCAAAAATCTCATCACAGGTAGATGTGACACATTATTTTTTTTAACTTTTTATTTTATGTTGGAGTACAGTTGATTAACAATGTTGTGATAGTTTCAGGTGTACAGGAAAGTGATTCAGTTATACATACACATGTATCTATTCTTTTTCAAATTCTTTTTCCATTTAGGTTGTTGCATAATTTTGAGCAGCGTTCTCTGTGCTATACTGGGTCCTTGTTGGTTACCCATTTTAAATAGATGCCCATCTTAAACACTGGCTCCGGACGCACAGGCTCAACGGCCATGGCTCACGGGCCCAGCCGCTCCGCGGCATGTGGGATCTTCCTGGACCGGGACACGAACCCGTGTTTCCCCGCATTGGCAGGTGGATTCTCAACCACTGCGCCACCAGGGAAGCCCTAGATGCCCATCTTAAATACTGCATTGTATATGGCACCACCTGGTGGCCATCCAGGCAGTAAAGGCAGAAATTCTATTTCTCACGTCAACAAAGAGGAAAGGACAAGGATTCCTCCCGCTTTGCTCACTTGCTCATCAGACACATAGGGTGTGCACAAGCGGGCAGCATTCCCGGGGCGGTGGGGTCCACGAGAGTGAACCAGGTACTTCTCTCTCCGCTTCTCTTGCAGTGCTGTATGGATCGTGGTTTGACCATGTCCACAACTGGCTGCAGATGAAAGGAAAAGAGAATTTCCTGGTGATATCGTATGAGGAGCTGCAACAGGTAACCATTTTCTCTAGCTCCATCTCATGGCTGTCTATCTTCCATCCATTCTTTCCATTTAATTTAATTAATTAATTTTTTTAACATCTTTATTGGAGTATAATTGCTTTACAATAGTGTGTTAGTTTCTGCTGTATAACAAAGGGGATCAGCTATTCATATACATATATCCCCATATCTCCTCCCTCTTGCGTCTCCCTCCCACCCTCCCTATCCCACCCCTCTAGGTGGACACAGAGCACCGAGCTGATCTCCCTGTGCTATGCGGCTGCTTCCCACTAGCGATCTGTTTTACATTTGGTAGTGTATATACGTCCATGCCACTCTCTCATCCATTCTTTAATATTTCTATTCTACCCTTTCAATCGGATCTTATCCCTGGGAGGAAATCAAGAGGGGTCATTTCTTCTTTGACCTCCTTAGGTTGTACACATTCTTTCTTCAATTTTCTCATTTATTTCTTTTTACAACATTTAATGCAGGCACTGACAAAGAGTTTAGTAACATACTGAGGGCTATCAACGATTTCATGGCAAAAATCTGAAGCAATCTGGGAACCCAGGGGCAGTGTCCGGTGGGTGTGGAAGGCAGATGGGGCTTGGCAGGGTCAGGATAGAGGCAAAATTATTTACATATTCCCAGACCGACTGATAGGAATTGAATATGTCAGTATTCATAGAAAGCATTGGCTGACCTCCAGAGAAAGTGGCCAACGTAAATTTTTTTTTAATTAATTTCATTTTGGCTGCATTGGCTCTTCGTTGCTGCGTGTGGGCTTTCTCTAGTTGCGGTGAGCGGGGGCTACTCTGCATTGTGGTGCATGTGCGTCTCGTTGCAGTGGCTTCTCCTGTTGTAGAGCATGGGCTCTAGGCACGCAGGCTTCAGTAGCTGTGGCACATGGGCGCAGTAGTCGTGGCTCGTGGGCTCTAGAGCGCAGGCTCAGTAGCTGTGGCTCACAGGCTTAGTTGCTCCGTGGCATATGGGATCTTCCCGGACCAGGGCTTGAACCTGTGTCCCCTGCATTGGCAGGCGGATTCTCAACCACTGCACCACCAGGGAAGCCCGTGGCCAACGTAACTTTAAATAGACTGTCTCAGGACTTCCCTGAGCCACAACTACTGAAGCCCATGTGCCTAGAGCCCGTTCTCCGCAGCAAAGAGAGGCTACTGCAATGAGAAGCCTGCGCGCAGCAACGAAGACCCAACGCAGCCAAAAATAAATAAATAAATAAGTAAGTAAGTAAGTAAATAAATAAATAAATAAAAGTAAAGTAAAAAATAAATAGACTGTCTCTTATAAACACTCCTCTGTCCCACACTTGGACTGCACATTTCCAGACGAGTATGACGAGCTCATCCTCTTCCTGCTTTCGCTTATTTTCTGTCTCCTCCTGGTCATCACTCTCTGCTGTCTCTGTTTGCTCTCTTTTTCCCGATTGTCATTTTCTTTCCACTCTCTGGGGTTCTCATCCTAGGACATACAAGCTAGTGTAGAGACACTCAGCCACTTCTTGGGCAAGAAGCTAAGCCCAGAAGAACTGAATGCAGTCCTCAAGAATGCATCCTTCAAGACCATGAGAGATAATAAAATAGCAATTATTCCCGATCACCTGATATCTTTATGGATCAAAGCAAAGGTTTCATGAGAAAAGGTAAGAGAGCATTTTTTAAAACTGAAGTATATTTGATTTACAATATTATATTAGTTGCAGGTGATTAGTTGCAGGTGCAGCATAGTGAGTCAGTATTTTTATAGATTATACTGCATTTAACATTATTACAAAATAATGGCTACATTCCCTGTTCTGTACAATATATCCTTGTTGCTTATTTATTTTATACATAGTAGTTTGTACCTCTTAATCCCCTACTCTTATCTTGCCCCTCCCCCCTTTCCTCTCTCCACTGGTAACCACTAGTTTGTTCTCTATATCTGTGAGTCTGTTTCTGTTTTGTTATATCCATTCATTTGTATTATTTTTTAGATTCCACACATAAGTGATAAAATACAGTGTTTGTCTTTCTCTGTCTGACTTATTTCACTGAGCATAATACCTCCAAGTCCATCCATGTTGTTGCAAGTGGCAGAATTTCATTCTTTTTTTATGCCTGAGCATTTCTAATTTTAGGACCTGGAAGAAATGGACAGAGAATTCCTCTGCTTCTGTGGATAAACTAAGATATGGGGCGAGGAAAATATTTGAGTCTATAAAATCACAAAAGTGGCACCTGACTTGGAGAGTTTAAGGAATGATTTGGGATATTTATAAGGTCCTAAAGAAAACTTGTGAAGATGAAGCACTGCCTATGAATAATGTATTTCCCTGTCCCCACTCATGTCCTAGGTGTTGGTTGTTGTGTAGAGCACCCTCACATTTTCTTGTTAGAGTTCCCGCTCACAACACTGGTGTGGTCCCTCGCCCCATGGAGTGACCCTCCCTTTACAAGTATTGACAATGGGAATATCTATTCCACCAAAAGGAGCTGGCAAATAGAAACCCTGGGAAAAGAAAAATGAGGGGAAAGACATGTGACTTAGCTCCAGGCCAAACCTTCTGTTGAGACCCTATACGAAAGACCAAAGATGTTCACTACACAGAAGGAATGAGGGTGTTGATGGCATGTAGTGGGTGGTTTCCATTTTCAACCTGCAGTGTACAAGAGTGGGGCTGGGGAGACCTCAAGGAAAAGATGACATGCGACTGTTTGCTCGGTTACCCAAGGGAAGAGCATTCGAGGTAGAAAAAACTGCAAGGTACAAAACACTGGGTAGTGCTGTTTGCGGTGATATTCAAGGGTGGAGAGTTAAAAATAAAAGGAAAGGGACTTCCCTGGTGGTCCAGTGGGTAAGACTTTGCCTTCCAATGCAGAGAGTGCAGGTTCGATCCCTGGCTGGCGATCTAAGATCCCACATGCCTCGTGGCCAAAAAAACAAAACGTAAAACAGAAGTAATATTGTAACAAATTCAATAAAGACTTTAAAAAAATAAAAAATAAAATAAAAAGAAAGGAAAGAGAAGGCATGATTTGGGGGTAGCAATCAATCACAAGTACACCATATCTACCTACACGACCCAGGGTAAGAGCAGCATAGGAGAAAAGAACCTCCACTGTCCTAAAGAAATGTGTGGCTGGTTAAATGAGGTATACATGTAATATCCTAACACAATGCCTGGCATATGAGAAATTACTTCATGTAGGTTAGGTGTTATTACTGTTGTGGTTGCCTTTTGTGATTATTCAAACCTCACAATATAAACAGATTGCAAAGTGGAGACTCAAATATACTACCAAAAACCAGTGGCCGTCAGACTCTGGACAAGAAACTTTTAACCACTCGGTTATATTGCCTTGCAATTTCCAGTTCAGTGTCCGTGACAGATTGGCAGTGGTGACAGACACAGAAGACGCTGAAGTGAAGTCTTGAGACCTTATTTATAAACCTGATCTGGACTTATTTTTTTGTATATTTGACAGGAATCATTGGGGACTGGAAAAGTCACTTTACAGTGGCCCAGAGTGAAGCCTTTGATAAAATATACCAGGAAAAGATGGCTGGGCTCGCTCAAGACCTATTCCCATGGGAATAATGGCCTTATATTCCTGGATCAGATATAAATGCTGAATTTCCTGATGTTCTTGTGTTCGAGCACGCTCATAGGAAGCAAATTTTAATCCTACAATTCAATATGTGGTTCATTGAAAATAATCATGTTCTAAGAATACTATTTCATAATAGGTGGAAGTCATATAAAATTTAAATTTCAGTGCCATAAATGAAGTTTTAATGGAACACACATACATGCACACACACACACAAAAGAATCATGTTCCTTATTAACTGTAAGCCATGCCAGCTGCAAAAAGTTATATAATATTTCAAACACACAGAATAAGAAAACAATATTTTAAACCTCATATGAATTCTAACCTGTTAAAAAATAAAAGTGAATACTTTCCCATATTGGTGAGTATATGAAAGTCCACCACAGAACATTACATATATTAATATACTTACCTCTTCTTCTGTAGCCATTCCCCAATCATATCTTCCCTCTGTATCTTTGGCATCTCATAATTAGTAACTACTCAGAGCTTAGCGTGTACGTTTCTGTAGGGGATACCTTGTTCAGATCACCACACCGATGCACTTATGCTCCAGCCACTGTGAGGGAGCCTGCTGAGGGCTTGCAGGTGCCCTCTTATCTGCAACATTGCTTTGAGCAAAACGAGAGACATCTTTCCTGGAAGATTAGGCTTTCCGAAAAACAAACGGCACCCAGCAAATGACTTGCAGAGATAAATATTAAAGACTAACACCTTGTGCTAGGAAAGGAGCAGATTCGTGGTGTGCTTTGTTGTCAAGCTCTCTGGGGGACGAGAACAAACCACATCTGTGTTTGGCTTCTTCCCCAAGACCCACCACTCACCCCTGCCGGGTTGTGCTGGCCTCACTCCTTTTCAGAGCACACTCATTCATTGAATCATTTATACAAAAGCACCCATTTCAAGCTGTTTCTAAGAAACCCAACTCAAGAAACTTAACCCCAGAAGCCATCCTAGGAATAAAACTGTGAAGATGGGATTCTGGAATTGATCACTTACCAGCCAGACACCAATGAGGACCCCAATACTAGCAGTGGGGAACATACAGACAGACCCTGGCATATTATCCCAGGGCAAATCCTAAGGGCTTTTTGTTTGTTTGTGTTTTTTGGTGCACCACGCGGCATGCAGGATCTTACTTCCCTGACCAGGGATCGAACACGTGACCCCTGAAGTGGAAGCGCGGAGTCCTAACCACTGGACCGCCAGGGAAGTCCCCTGCTAAGGTTTTCACTACTGTGTTGGGATACAGGTGGAAAGGGCTGATCTGTCATGTGCAGAATCTCTGGAATGTGATTGTTACAGGGGGAACAGTAACTCTTAGGACTGTGGAATTAGGTGCCTTTTGAAAAGTGCCACTAACGCAAAAAGCAGTGGAGACAGTGACCTCAGATGGATTCATCAGGGTTGTAAATGTCACCAAAAACCCGGCCTCTGTTCACTGCTGCCGAATAGAAACACAGAGACAGAACCTGGAGGAGTAGAAAAGAGTAGCTTTATTACTTTGCCAGGCAAAGGGGGCCACAGCAGGCTAAGGCCCTCAAAACTGTGCCTTGATTCCTGGGCAATAGGAAGGGGTCTTATAATTTCAGGGTGGAAAACAGAGCTGTAGATAAGGGTCGGGGCTGATGTGGTCTTCATTCTTCTTTCTTCTGGAGACATTGGGATTATTAGGGCTGGCGTCAGGTGGTTCCGGAACAGGTTCTGGTGGTCCTCAAGGTTATCGTTCCATGACGTTCTTTCTGGAATGAAGAATGCCCACAAAGGAAAGGAGTGCTAGGGAGTGTTGTCTTGGAGGAGTAAACATCAGGTGCACAGTACAACTTTAGCTAGAGGGCAGTCACTATCAGAGTGCAGCTAAGCAAGAAAGGGAAGGGAAAAATTAAAAACGTTTACAGGGGCTTCCCTGGCTGGACATCGAGCCCTGGTCCGGGAAGATCCCACACACCGTGGAGCAACTAAGCCCGTGTGCCACAACTACTGAATCCTGCGTGCCTAGAGCCTGTGCTCCGCAGCAAGATAAGCCACCGCAGTGAGAAGCCCGAGCGCCACAACCACTGAGCCTGCACTCTAGAGCCCACGAGCCACAACTACTGAGCCCGCGTGCCACAACTACTGAAACCTGCGCCCCTAGAGCCCACGCTCTACAATGAGGAGCCACCGCAATGAGAAGCCTGCACACCACAACGAAGAGCAGCCCCCCCCACCCCGTTCCTACTCGCCGCAACTAGAGAAAGCCCGCGCGTAGCAACAAAGACCCAACACAGCCTGAAATAAATAAATAAATTTATTTTAAAAAAAAAAAAAGTCTACAGGAGACCAGTTGGATGGGTGGCAAGAATAAGGGCTGAATAAGGGCTGACATAATGGGGATGCCTCAACTAGCTTCTGCTACAGCATAAAGGCAGTGTGGGAGTAATGTCAGCAGGATGGTGAAATAGGAGGCCCTGTCCCCGGATGATAATAATGTGAGGGCTCTGGAAGCCAGGAAGGCAGTTCCAGTCCCCCCATGGACCACGGAATCCAAGTTCAGCCACGTTGGACAGGATGAGAACAGCCTCACCCTGCCCGCATCACCCCTTCCAAAGCTGCCACAGCTCAGTGCTGAGCCGCCTACCCCCAGCCCTTCTCACCCAGTGGGGAAAGAGTAAGCAAAGTGAGGGGCTGGCTTCTCCAGCCTTTGAGACCCGCTGCCCGACAGACCTGCTTCTGTCTCCTCAAACACGGAATGTGAGGAAACCCACGTGGCTGTGGCCTGGGGAGAGCTAAGATCAAAGAAATGGGGTAAGGATGGCAGCAACCCGCTCGAGGGTCTCAAGGACCACCTGGGCACCCCCACGGATGGCACAGACCTCACGGACTGGCTTGACCCTGCAGAACCGAGGGAGACACCCGGTCCTGAGGCTGGTCCGTCAGGAGAAGGGAAAGGGGTGAAGCTGGTACCCATCGCCCCAGCACTTTGGGGCAGTGCCCTGGGGAAAGGCTGGTAGTGCTACACACCTGACACAGCCCTGTTGAGGCAGGAGATAGACGGGCCCCAGGCTGAGCAGCTGGACTCTGTCTCCTGTGGACAGATAGTCCAAGATGAAGAGAAGGAGCTGAGCCCTGGCCAGGTAAGACACCACATATTTCTCATTCTGGAGGTCAAGGAGACCTTCCCGACTACACATGCGCAGAAAGGCTCCTTGGAGGTCAAAAAGTGGGTGATGTCAGCCTACCCATAGGCCTCTTCGCAAGAACCCACCTCGGCTGAGAGATGCACGCGCATGCAGGGGAGGACCCTGAGATAAACCAAGTATGGACTCAGAACCAGGCAAAGCAAGATGACTGGCCAGAGGAGACCCGGAAGAAATGCCCCATATAAGTGATTCAAACTACCACAAGGGCGCGACTCTCTCTGGGAGTCCACCCGTGTGTGCCTATTCATATGTACTCTTTTTCCTCCTAATAAACACTTTACTTGTTTCACTACTTTCCGTTTCTTTGTGGAAATTCATTTTCTCCAAAGCCATATGGGCCAGGGCCTCGTCACTGGCCACTGGTCTAGTGACTAGGATTCAGTGCTCTCTCTGCCATGGCCTGACTTCAGCCTGTGGCCAGGATCTGAAATCCTGCTTGAAGCTGCTGCAGGCTGAGGCCACCCGAGATCACTGTGGCATAGAGGGAAGACACACAATCCTAAACATCCCCTCCAGGAGGGACCCCCAGAATCTCCAGCCGGGCTGTCTGCTGGAGGTCCTTCCCTCCTGAAGCCAGTCCATAAAGACTGGAAGAGGTGACTGCTTCCCAAAGTGCAGACATCAACGCAAGGCTACAAAGATCACGAGGAATCAGGGAAACAGGACATCATCGAATGAAGGAAATAAGCCCTAGTGACCGATCCCAGAGAAATGGAGATCTACCAACAGCCTGCTGGAGAATTCAAAGTCATTGTCTTAAAGAAGCTCCGTGAGTTACAGGAGAACAGAGATAGGCAACAAAACGGAATCAGGAAAACAGATTATTTTTCCTTTACAATTTTGTTTATTGAAGATTAAGTTTCTATTCAACTTTAAGGTCCACAATTATAAAGTTTAACTTGAAAAAACAGAGATTAGTTTTGACATTTAAAATTAGTACAAAAACGATCTGTTAACAACCATAGGTGAACAATATAGAAACAATTGCATCTCAAAAGCATGCTAGGAAAACGGCAGATTTTTTAAAATGAAAAGTTTGGATTGACGTCAGCAAGAAGGGAACAATCTATCATCAACTGGGATCAATCACCATAGACAGGAAATAAATCTAGGCAAGGACAAGTAAAGAATGAGAAATAACAATGTTTCTAAACCTTCCCTCCCCATTCAACTCTTTCCCAAGTCATTCTTCAGTTCCAAGGCCAAGGTGAGCTAACAATGCAAGCTCAGTTTGGATCATGTCTCTGGTTGTCTTCTGTTTGTGGGACAGATTAAAACTCGATTCAAAGTGAGCATATCAGAAAACATTGTTCAAAGTGGCATGTTTGTGTATTAGATAATTTCCTTGGTATTGCTCCAGAGAACACTTTGTCTTCCTTAGCTAAGTAATAAATCTCTGTTGCCCCCTAGTGTAAAGTGCCCAACATTGAGTTGCCCACGTGAAAAGCAGCTCAGTTACAAATCATCGCTTACAATTCAGAGGAAATATGGGTTTGGTGTTTACATTTGAAACCCAATGGGGACTCCTCTAATCATGACATCTATGTAGGGCATGTCTTTCCCAATCAACTGCTCCACAGTCCTGTGATGCAAAATTTCAGGAGCTCCAAAGGAAGATTCTAACTTTGAATATCCCTAGAGATATAAATGTGAATCTGTACTCTTCTTATGGTTTAAATCATGTGATACAAAACACATTATCTAAATTGCACGAAACTCTCTCAACCCACCTTTTGTGATGTAATGGATGAATGATCAGAATATTCTTATATCACAGTGTATTATATTTTATGAATGTTGTACTCTATTTCTATTTGCTTGTTTACTGTAAGGGTCATTTATTTGACTGTGACCTCCATGACTCTGGAGAC